CCCCACAACCAAGCTGGTACCATAGTAAACATGCCCCGTGGTCTCTGACCTTCTCACTATAACGGCCTTCATGAATGATTCAAGCGAATTACACTGCTTCACTCTTTCGAATTCACCTGTTTACACTCTATTCCAGCAACGTGGAAACGTGAAGGCGGCTATGCTTCGAAATTAATCATTGGTTTTCGAAAAAAAAAGACATTAACAAGCAATAAAAGAGAAGTACGTTCCTGCTCACAGAGGCCTCTGCATTGGTGGAGCTGCGGGCAGCTTCTGGGCCTTCTAAGGAGAGAAAACAGGCCTGGGATTCTGGGTCAACCGTGCGTTGAGCAGTTTTCAACTGGGCCGCATGTGGGGTTTTTGAATAGCCAAAAGGTTGGAAACGGGGGCATTTCTGTGATGGATGGGTCGTGGTTGCGGAAGAGGGGTATTCCCTGACGGGTTGTGGTTGCTGACGGGATTTTTGATGTTTCTGTTTGAACTCTAAGAAAAATAGACAAAAGGGACCAAGTTAGAACGTTCGCAGTTTCTTCAGCAATATTGGCTGATGGTGGTTATGGGGATCACATCGAGACCTCCTCTAAGAGTCTAAAAATCAAGGAAAGGGGGTGTCCAATTTCTGGAAATAGAACAATGGTTTGACCCTACTCGGACTAGACTCGCTGTGTTTTGAGTTTCATCATTAAGTTGATCGGATTTTTTTGAGAAACTCTCTCAGCGCCAAGCCTCACATCACATCTTACAGCTTTTTTTCAAGAAAAAGGCAGCAGTATGAGCTTCCAGTGGAACTGGAAAAGAGAGAACTAGCGGCAAAACATTGTATAGGGAAGAGCCGGCACAGCCGTTGTATACCACTCATTCAAAAAGTTCCTTCCAACAAGAGCTGAGATTGCTGTCTAGGTAGCAGAAACAACATGACGATTGGTTATCGTACAAAAGGATTGGATGCGTGAATTTTGAATAGGAACAGCATGAGATTAGAAATACAATAGGAAACCACTGATATTTCTAACTAGTGATCCCAATTACTACATACTGCCGTATTATCATAGAAAATAGCGGCACCCTCATACAACTTATGGTTAGGACAAAATACAAGAGCTTCAAAATCACATGGAACTCAACAAACCTACAGAAAGTCTTGCCCAGAGTTGTTGAGCACTCTTAAGCGCATCAAAAGCAAATGAGGCGAGCAATTAGTCAAGTTTTCAAGTGGTAACTGAAATATGACTTGGGACAAAATACGTGAGCTACAATTCAAACTTGCTCGGTAAGCGAGACAAGCGCTTTATAGGGCCAAATAGGGCGAAGTATTTTGTCAGTGAATAAGCATTGTTATGGTGAACGTCAAACAAATCTTCCCACCCTTCAGCTCCCACGCACTGCCGGCGATAAAATTAATGAGTCCCATTTCATTGTCAGCACATCTAATTTAGTCACAATGCACGCACGGAATTCATTTCATTTCTTCTTCTTCTTTCTAGCAAACAAAAAACTAACGCTTACATCGACTTACCCCATCACTGTTCACTTCAGATCAAGCAAATGAAAGACAGCAACACCAACCCTGCGGGGCTTGGTTTGGCCTACTGTTCAATTCTTCCCTATTTTACCAATAAACCTTGCCAATAACCAAATTTAAAAACACTAAACCCATGTGACTAACACCCTCATCGCATAAATAATTCATTGAAATGGGAATTTGCGCAGACAAGAAGACACCGCACGCGAATACCACGATATGCAACAGAACGAATACACCAAGTGACAACTGCTGGGCTGACCACGCAACTAACCAGAAAAAAAAAAAAAACAACAACTTTCCATTTGCAACAAAACAGACCTTCATTTGCAAAATTGGAAAAATGCTCTACGAAGTAGCGCAGAGCCTATAACTGTTTACACTCGACAAAAAACCATAGTTGAACCTTCACTATCTTCGCATGAAATACACAGGATGCAATATCGAATACATTAGGACAATAAATTCTCATTCCAAACGACACAAAATCCAAGACGAATGAGAGCATTTGTATTGGTATAAGAAGCCGCATCGAACAGTTGAAATTGAAGCCGATTCCCATCACATTTAATTTCACAAGACTATTCTATCCTCATCAACCATTAAAATTAAACCGTGCCACTCATCGAAAAAAAAAAAAACACGAAACAAATAAAGACAGTGTTCAGCTGACAACTAAAACTATGAGACAATATCCGTATTTGAAAAAAAAAAACAAAACTTCAAATTTAACAACTAGAATACCATACTTAACAATAAGAAATTGATCAACCGCTGAGATCGTTGTGATCAAACATTGCCTGGTCGTAGACTTCTGCAGAGACCGTATGTCCACCGAAGAAACGCTTGTCAAGAGCAGCTCGTGCAGCATCGACCTACACATTTCGCAAAAATACTTTCATATTCCAACCAATATTACAGTAAATTGGAATACAAAAAAAATGAATGGAACCGCCATACCTGTTTGGGATCCGCAAAGCGTACAAAAATTTTCACTATCCCGGCATTTTGATCATTTGCTATCACCACCTGAATAGCACGATCCTTTTTCCATTTACCTATACTGTGTCAACGAACAAAAACTTTACATAAACAAAACCAATAGACACATTTGCTATTCATTGCCTTTCATTCGTTTCTTTCTTTCTTACGTCTCCGCTTCTAATAATGAATTTATCACATCGAGGAGTGAAGGACTTATAAATGCCAAACAAAACATGACTTTTACATATTACACCTCAATTACTATGCTAGGATTCTAACTGCGCCGTACGACTCGACCACACCACAGCTGTATAGATGTTATGGAAGTAGCATGACAAAGACCCATAAAGTGAAACCAATGGGTGGGAGACATAAACTATGGGTTCACAGAGCCAAAAAAAATTTTTTATGCGAGTTGGTGAGAGGAACTCTAGCGAATAGAAAAATAATGCATGAAAAATTTAAATCCTTTTAACTAGAAGTAATTTCCTAGGAGTGCTGAATAGCTACTAATTTAGCAACCACTCCCAAAAACGAACAAAGAATAATTTCGAAAAACCAACCTCTTGCACATCACCATATTGTGAACATTCCTCCTTGATTTCCTCCTCAAGATACTCATCGATTTCATCTGGGCTCACCTGAACATCACTGTGAACAGGAAGAACGATGTAAGAATGGGAAATTTATTGAAGGATCTATGTGAGTCAACATCCTTCCACGTCTTCACAAGCATAAACAGAACAAAAGCGACTAACCATGTTCCGTAATACTAGAACAGTGGACCGATTCGTTCGCATGAGCTTCGCCATCAGAAGATGTCGAGCATCATTTCCTCTGCAATAAGTCCGTTCAAAAAAGGAGACTGTAGAGC